TTTACCTCAAATATCGTTAATAATGAAAACACACGCGGAAGAGTGCGCCGAGACACTTTTCAAAATTTTGACCTAACACAAAACGCTAACAGGTCAATCAAAAGAAAAGACAGCGAGACGGAAACAAGGAAGGGAGTGTGTGTGTTTTGGGGGGACCCGTGGCTTTTAAAATTTTAGGTAAAAAAAATGGGAATAGGGGAAGTAAGGGGAGAGGGGGAAACTAAAACAAATGTGTGTTATTTCCACAACGTGCGGAAAACGGGGGAAGATGTAAGACAAAGGGAGGGGGAAGGGTGAAAAGGGAGTGTGGTGTAATTAGATGATATTTTTATGGGGGCTGGGGGGTAGTGGAGGAGAAGATCCAGGGGGGGAACATACACAAGGAAGAATAATGGAGTACTAAAATAAAGAAAAAGAGTTCGGGTTACCTTGGTAGTGTACGCGCCATGTTCCGTGGGGCCAAAAACAGAGCAGGGGGGAAGGGGGGGGAAGAGGAATCGGGGGGTGAAGTACACCACGCTTCTCCACGTGTGTGTGAGAGGAGAGAGGGGGAGAGTAAGGGGAGAAAAAGGGGTGATTTTGGGAAAGGATGGGGGGGGAAGAAGGCCCACCGAAAAAAAAATCACCAAAACGGGTTTTTCGACGGCGAAGTTTTGATGTACAGCGTCTTGACTTCAAAAGCTCCGTCCCTTCCACTAAAAAAAAAAAAATGACCGCTAGAAATTTTTACTATTTTTCAATTTTTTTTGTCAAAAAAAAACCCTTTAAACTTTAACACATTAAAAACTAAATAAACTGACCCTTGTTCCCTGCACTAACTGAAATTATTTCCTTTATCCCTTAATCCCAAATTTTTTTATTTAATTTTATTTTTTAAGCTTGTTACATCTCTGTTGTCTCACAAACCCCTTCTAATTCGTTCCAGGTCCAGTAGGCTGACCCCAAAAAGAACCCCCTTATACTCCCTAGTAATATACTAGGAGGTTACCTCAGAATAAACAGAACAAAGTTTAGATAAAACTCCCGGGGCCGATACCCCACATGATAGTTTTTTTATTAGTAGTAGTAGTATTAGTTGTAGTTGTAGTATTGTTAAGTATTTCCGAAGTAGTACTATTAAGTGGTTGCTTGTATTTTTCTTTCATTTTTTTCTCAAACTTTCGTGTATAACTTGAGAACGCCTTATCCGATCGGCTTTAACTTTTCAACGTTGGTTTATTGTATCTAGGGGTGGATTCATGCAACTATTGCTCTGTGCAAACGCCCTATGTTCAACGTTATATTAATTATTCCAAGTTAACTGAAGTGGATCTGATAAGTCTCAAACGCCTCTTCTGCTTGGCATCAAACATTCAAAACTTTGTTATCTTGCATCGTCGAGGGTGACGAGGGTAAATAAAGTAGGTTGGTGCGTATTTGCCAATGGTGTAAAGTGTTGACAGGTTGATAAATTAGACATACGCAGCACTTAGACTTCTTTACATGGGCAAACGTTTTCCCCTCACAGCAGGCTTTTTCGGTTAAATACAGAGGTGACTTTAATACCTGGAACAGTGGAAGAAATGTAAAGGTTATTTAATGGTATTCAATCCCTTAGCCTTTTAAAGTTGATTTGTGTTCAGTTCCTTAGCCTTGCTTAATCTCCAGCTCTTTGACTTTGTTTAGTGTTCAGTCTTTTAGCCTGAAGGTTAAACTTGAGGGTGGATACTTGTATACTAAGAGCCAAGGGTGACGTGCAGCAGTTGGAGACTGCGTCTCACGTGAGTTGGGCTTATTAGGAAATGTAAGTCACGTCAATAAGTTGGGCCAGCATTTAAAATATGGCTGGACACATCACCACCAAGGAGTCTTGGTACAGAGAATATTTTCTACAACTCTCAATCCCAGTTCATCTCAGCTTGCCCTGTTTACTTTCCTTTGATTTACATCTTGTCGGGTTACTGTTTGTCTTTCACACAGCTTCTAGTTGAGCAAAAAATTGAGTGATTAGTTGAATGAAATAATTATATACATTGCATATGGCGTGTTTCTGTCCCTCACTTACCTGCATTGTTAAAGAAATTATTAATATCGTGACGCTTCATCCTGGAAAATTGTATTTTTTTATGATGTAAACAAAATAGGCTGTTTTAGCCTTGGACAAACTGTCAGGAAACAGAAAAGTGTTCCCTGACGTGGGTCTTTGCTATACAAAGACCCGATCAATGATTAAACTCCCTCTGGCTTACTGGTACTATATCCCCGTGGTTAATCCGCCCCTAGCTTATAGGATTTACTTTTGTAATCCCATTTAAAAACAAAGAATCGCAGCTTCGTCTCCTAGAATATGAAACATACATAGCTGGCATACATTAAGCGTCATTAAAATGTTATGTTGTGACGCACCATATGACAAGACGAGGCTTCGTGCCTGCTTTACTGTGTTCTCCACCAGAGTCCTGCTATAATTAGTCTTTGTTATATCGTAGAACTGTAGTTTAACATGTTATAAAATAAATACATTTTCAACAAACCCAGATTAAACAAAATCAGATTAAACAGAAGAATCAATTTTGAAATACTAGGCATTTGCAATTATATCCTACGAAATTTATTTTCTTTTGCTGGAAAGTAAAAGCTAAATTACTTGCCACTAAAAAATATTTATGGTTTTATTTCCAAAACTTACAGTCCATTTTTCCTGACAACCTGACACACAGTTTAGGGGAAAATAGCCTTTTCGCCTAATTAAATTTCAACGGAGGATGAAAACTGGTGAACGCTTCCGAGGGAGTTCAGCCTTAGTTAGGTACTTCATAAACTGTGAACCAGGGCTACACGCTCCCTTCCAGGCGCCCTGATGCCGATAAAGGGCTTTAGGTAATTGGAGCTACCCCTTCTCCTTCCTCAGATCAAACCTGAATAACCCCTGTTACTCAGGCGGTGCATAACCCATCGGGTTTAAAACAGATTCCTGTAATTCATTGATCCTGGAATGGTGGTGGTGGAGGCCTCTAGATCCAAGTAACTGACGATTCTCTTCCCTAGTCGTTGTACGACCCCCTACGGGCAATATAATAATCACAATAACAATGATCCGAATAATTGTAATTTTCCACATAGACTCTGTTTACACCTGTTTCTGATAGTGGTGAATTAACTTGTGATATCAAATGTTGGTATCTTCTCTGCCAGAATTATTATAAGCAAGTATATGACCCCAGTGTTGTTGAGTAGCGTTCTCCATCACTATAATGAAGTTCAGTACCAGCCTCCATCACTACAGTATATTGTAATACAATCTTCCATTACTACATTGCAATTCAGACGTAATAGCCTCCATCACTATGATGTACTACGGTACCATTCTTTAATTTGTTCGGTACCATCCACCATCACTACAATACTACAATATGTTGAGAATCGATCCTCCATCACTACAATACTACAATATGTTGAGAATCGATCCTCCATCACTACGGTGTAGTATAGTACCATCTTCCATCACTTCATTGTAGTTCACTATCATCCTCCGTCACAACTGATAATTCCTTTACTTTGGACACCTGAACACTCCTCTTTCATATATTTCACGTAAATATAAAGGAATAAAAAGCACTGTGTCTCTTGACAAAAAAAAAAAACACCCGTTTGCTAGACGGAGAACTTAGCCTCGAGACCCTACCTGAGCTGGATGGCCCATGTGGGTTTAGCACATCATGAAATGGGGCACACTTTAGAATGTCAAAAAAATGTTCCCCCTTGTTTCTTCTGTCAAATTTCAGCCGAAGAAAACAATGACGAAGAGAACCTCACTGCCACAAATTGTCGACTAAATAAGACGCAACATGCGGTTTGGTCCACCAGGGATAACGTTCCTGCCTCTCCACTTTTGCCTTCCCACTTCGTCTATAGTCTTCCAAAGAGGCTGAAGGACTGGACGCCCATGTCTTCCTCCGCTTAGTCTGCCGTCTTCAGGTATTCATTTCCATCCACAAGGGATAAAATCCCAGGCAGACGAAATATTTTCTCGATAAATTACCATAAAAGGCATATACTGCTTTTTATACACTTGTCAATTTATTGTACAATTGATGTGCATTGTAAATTGACGACAGTAATGTAGTGAAGTCTCGTGGGCGTTCCATTAAGATCCACCGAAGACACGAAAGTCATTATGTTTCTTTATAACAACAACAATAATGTAGTTACCTTCAAAATTAGAAATTCAAGTTAATTCTGGAAACTGTCTCCTTTTAATATATATACGGTGGAAGACACTCTTGTCCTATTTCTTCTTGGCTTTGCTGGTTAGTTGGTTAATCGGGTTCAAAACTTCTCGACTACGCGAGAACAATTAAAGCTTCAGCAACCTCTTGACCACCTGTCAAGTAGACTCTCAGTGATTACACTGAATACACACTCAGCATTGAATGTGTTCTTGAACGTTATTTTTGCCTTCCAAAATTATCTAA